TTTCTTGCGCTTTTATTTTTCCAAAAGATATTCAAATGTTTTTCCGAAAAATAAATATCGCGCACTCGAAGATATTTATACAGGAAAAAAAAATTTTGGGAATACTTATTTCTTCCATAAAATTATGAAATATTATTACTATAGTGCATGAAATTTCCTTCATATATCAAGTGTAGAGATTATTAACTCAATGTTTTTCAGATATTTACGTGACAATATAGAAGCATACATCCCTTAATGTAATAACGTAAAATTAATGAAGATCAAATCTCATCTTTTCAGTATCATTAATTCAATTCCTCAAGCTTTTTAATCTTTAGTGTTATTAGTAGAATGTAATATAGTTAGAATTAAAGATTTTAAAGATTTGATTTTTATTTATTTTTTTGTTTCATTCAACATTTATTAACCTATATTCGGCTATTTTTCGTTTTTACACGACTTATATTTTATTTATTAAAAGAATATATCGTTAAATAAAATATAATAGGAATATATATTTCTATCAATATATATTCCTATTATATTTTAACGATACATTTTTTTAATAAATAGAATATAAGTCGTGCAAAAACGAAAAGTAGCCGAATATAGGCTAATAAATGTTGAATGAAACAAAAAAAATAAATAAAAATCAAATCTTTAAAATCTTTAATTCTAACTATATATATATATATATATATATATATATATATATATATATATATATAGTTAGAATTAAAGATTTTAAAGATTTGATTTTTATTTATTTTTTTTGTTTCATTATTGCTAGAAATATATATATATATATATATATATATATATATATATATATTTCTAGCAATTTATACCTAACTTAACTATCTCAATAAAAACATTCAGTTTAATGGTTTAGCAAAAAGAAAAAAATAAGTATAAGATAGAATGCTAATTTTATCATAATTTTTCCCTATATTTCCATATTTATTATGTAAAATATACGTTCCTAGTAACAAGCCATTTCATTCAGCATTATCCACTATCAGTATTGAATTACCATATTCAATAATACGTTGAATACATAGCTGATAGATTGCGCATCAAATATTTCTATGCGATATGTCTCGAGTTCAAATTTGCGAACAGAAATCTCGATAAAGAACATCTCGTAATTATGGAATTAGCGGATATGCGGAATTGTCGTGAATCGTTAATTATCACGTTTTTTTTTCTCGACGGGACTAAATCGCAATAACAACATGCGATGATAAACAGAGGGCGGAAAAGAGGTAGAGAGAGAACCATTAAACTCGTCAAAACCAACAATATGAAGCGTATCGATTAATTCTTGTCGCGTTTTTATTGCCTCCTCTTCAGAGAGAAACTAGGTAACGCGCAAGGATCGTTCGCGTTTAATCGTGACGCAACGAAGCGCGGTTTAATTATCATGCATTACCTGCATTTATCTACCAATTACACCAACACGAATGTGAAAATCATTTCCTAGCCGTGCGGCACAATGATCCCGGCTTTCCCGACAACGTGAAAAATTTTATGCAAGAATCGCATTTTAAAAAATTAAGTATTCTCTCTTTTTATTAATTATGAGAGCGCACGTTTTTTTCGTAGAAAATATTCAAACAACAAAAGAAATTATCGCGGAATAACACACTCGAATTTTCTGTGAAACGATCGAAATAACTTATGATAATATATTAATACTTTAATAAACGATCTGCGCACATGCATCATGATTAATAAATGAATAAATTAATTAATTATTTTTCAAAAATGACAGAATTACATCATGAACGGTTGAATAATTAAATAGTGATAAACGCGTATTCCTTTGAATTAAAATGACCCGCATTTATAGTATATGAGGTGACTTTGTAACAGAATTGTATTGGAAATAATAAATTATGTGTAAGAGAGAGAGAGAGAGAGAGAGAGAGAGAGAGAGAAGATATAGTAGGAATATTCATTCCCTTGAAGGTTCTTGTGTAGCATGTGAACGAGGTGGAAATATTCAGATGCTATTCATCGAGATTCATTAAGGATTCCACACGATAATTAGCTACTCGTGTCGATGTGCGGTTTCTATTTCATTTCGTATTGCGCTCGCAACTATTCGAAATAGATACGTATTAATTAGATTGATTAAAGATGGAAACACATGCAACACAAACAGTGTAAAAATTATGAGACTATCTGAAAATTTTGCATATTTTCCTCATTTTTTAATACACCGCAATCCTACACTTTGCATTTATATATTTTATATTTCTTTTAAATGGAAATTTGCGCGCTTTGTGTAAATAATATTATTTAGGGAAACAAATCTCGAAAATGATTGTTAAAAATATTTTTCCATTCTTTTACGCGTAAAATCACGGGTTATTTGAAGACAAAGATATTTTGAATGTTTTTATTTGTTAAACTAGAAATGGCCATCACATTCAAAGACCAAATTTACGAAGATAATAAACGCATACACATTACGGAACATTGATAAATTTTAATCGTAAATGACGCTTTAATTAACTTGTAAAAAGCATCGAGTAATTTACGATTTAATTATCGAACCATTTAAGATGACGGTGAAAAAGGAATAAACATAATAAAGGCAATTTAAATCGTCTTAAGGATACTGCTTTTGATGTAGTCTTTTTGCAAAATAGTATTCTCGTTAACTTTCATGTCGTCATTAAATTCAGGTTCAAAGAATTCAATTTCGAAGGAGATTGATTGGATTATAAACAAATATAGAAATTTAAAAGAAAATCTCTAATTTTAAGTCTATTTTTCTAAAAGATATTTCGAACACATTCGAATATAACCCGAATATATAATAATTAAAATTAGATATTATAATCTTTAAATCTATTTAAATCTATTTAAATCTATAAATGTCTATTAATAAATTCGGGCGCAATTCAATTTAGAGAGAATGATTATCTCAAATTAACAATTTGATTAGATGGGAAGTTTGATTAGATGAAAAACTAATTTTGCGGGTTTATGCATGGACAAATTTAGTGAGTTCATTTAACATATGCAAAGTATGGCTTTATAAATAAACATCAGTCGCGCGAAATAACAATCGGCTAAATCATCAAAGTGTTTCATTTATACAACGGTTTTTTTTTCCTTCGAGAAAATTTAAATCGGAAGTAAAAAAAGTCACTCGACTCTCCCAGCGCCCGTTTTGCGGCTTCCATAAAGGCACGGCTTTTAGTTTACGCTTGTGTTAATGGTTTATTGACGCGACCAGCGGCACAGACCAACTTCCGACGTTTCTTCGGTGTAAGAAGATTACAACATAACTTCGCGCTCCAAGTCGACGGGCACGTCATCTACGTGCAACTTCCATCGACTTGGCGCGATTGAGATACGCAATGGTTGACGCAATCTCGTTACGTCGATGGAAACAATTCGAGGTATTTCGTACCTCCGGAATGAGTTCGGCGCACGTCAGAATATCCAGTTTACCAAACGAGATCGAAATTAAATGCGCTTATTCTCCGCGGCGGGGAGAGAGAAAGAGAAAGAAAAACAATGTGGGTTTTCGTAATGTAAATTATTGGCGGAAAAGTGTCTCGAAACAAAGTTTATTTAAATTCTTTTTAGCGAGCACTCCATTTCTCGTAAAGTGCAATTTAAGCGCGAGTCGTTGAATCGTGACGATTTATTCGATTTTATTAATTATTAAATATCGAAAAAAATAAATCGTTGAAAAATTCAACTGCACAAAATTTAGCTATATTAGTAGCACTTGAAAAACTTTTATCTCTTATGCTTACTGCCGAAGAAAATAAATCGTTGAAAAATTCAACGGCACAAAATTTAGTTATACTAGTAGCATTTGAAAAATTTTTATCTCTTATGTTTACTGTCGAAGAAAATAAATTGTTGAAAAATTCAACTGCACAAAATTTAGCTATATAGTATTGAAGAACTTTTATCTCTCACGTTTATTGTGATAATAAAAAAAAAGTTCCAAATATACCATCTACTTTTCGTATCATTAATTATCTCGCTAATTATTTTCGATCATGAATCGCTCTGTAATTTTCAAGTATCTTTTTAAATTCTGCCGATCTCATTCTAAAGATGCGATTTGTCAAGAGAGAAGACAGCGATCCCGGTTTTTCATTTAATCACCAAGAGTTGTACACGTTGTACACGTTGCGCGTCACTTGTCCTTTACGAAGACGCATCGCTTTCTTTTTACCGTCGATTCGTTTCGAAAAAAACGCGTTTCTTTTTCCGAGGTAAGTGTTCGTGCAATGGACAAAGCTCATGGATTTTTAATTAAATGTAAATTTTGCAAATGCACATAAAATAAGATGCGGGAACATTTGAATTTCACATTGTTCCTACAAAACGTATAACGTTGAATTCATGTATGAATAAATAATAAATTTTGAATTTGGATTTTTATATTTGATTGAAATTATAAAATAAAATTAAATAATACACGTACTTGTTCAGATTTATTCATAAAATTTGCTCGCATATATTTTTGAAAAAAAATTGTACAACTCGATATACATGGAATACAATTTGTTTTCAATCGTGTGTACATATACACGTATATTTATCTGTTTATTATTTATGATATGCGTCTGCAAAGCAAGTGTGCCGCGATTGCATATTCATAATTCATGATTCCCCGATCGTACCGGTTACTAATTTCTAACCGTCATTTATTCGGTTGTAAATTTATGGAAAATATTTACGTCGCATTTCATTCACACGCTTGCTTTAATTATTAACGCAAACACATTTTCGGGCAATTTTGATGGAAATTATAAAATAATATAGCAAAAGATTACGTGTATTATTTAATTATTTAAATCGTTATCCGCTTTGCCGTGAAATTTGCTTGTAATTCGACGTATACAACGATCTACCTCATAACGAAAAGTTTACGATAAAGAGAAAACTTGTGTAGCCGGCAATTCACGCGATGCGGGATTCATTCCGAAAAATGACAGGCGGGATCGTGGCCTTTATTTAACAGTTCTTTGTGCGCTTACCTATTTTACTGACGGCGGACCGTTTCGAGGATATTCCAAAGGGCCGCATGGCTGGCCTCACAAAGCTTTCCCTCTCTCTCTCTCTTAGATTCTCTACCTCTCTCCTTCTTTTCCTTTCCCTCGTGCGGATACCACCAGCTGCTGTTGCCACAAGTTACAGGCTGCTCCCGCCGAGTTGTTCGTCAACGACGCACACCATCCCAGAATCGCACACGCGCCCAGAATCACCGGTAAGGATGAGAAACGCGAGGTACGACGTTACCTTGGCCAGAGGCGAGGTGAGAGCGGGGCGAGGCGGGGCAAGTGAACGAGGTGAAGTGAGGCGAGGTAAGGCAGGCCGTCTCAGAGCCGCGCCGTCATCGCCGGCCTTTCCTTTCCTTCCTTAGCGAGAGCGGCGAGCAGGATCGGGGAATTGCATCACATGACCGCGCGGATTCCGCGAAGCCGTCGTATCGTATGAATCGTCCTATGTAGCTTCGCCGAGATAACCCCTCTTCCTTCAACCTGTTCAAGGGCAGACGCGCTGCGTAGTAAAAAAAAAGGACGAGTCTCCCCTGCTTCGTCTCGACCAGTGTTCTTCAACCGGCGGAACCGACGAGAAATCTCGAGTGAAAAAAAATTGTTGGTCGACGACAGAAATATATCTCTTATCGGTAACCGTTTCGGTCTTTTTTCTTTCTTTTTTTTTTTTATCGAAGTGAAGTATGCGTTAGATCGAAACTTTCGCTCCCTGTCGCCCAGCACTCTCTCGACAAGCTCTCGTTTGATGAAAGAGGAACCTTAGAAAAGCTTGTTTTTCTAGAGAAGGAAGTTGGGAAATTAAGTTTACCGGAGTTTAACCCAAAGAGAGGAGTTGAAAAAGCCTGGTTCCCGAAGCTCCCGTAGTTGCCGAACGGACGCGAAAAGTTGGCGGCCCGAAGATTGAGTTCCCGACGAAATTTCGTAATCGAGAACGTCTGACGCGAATTCAGGCGGTTTAGTTGGCCGATTGATTCCGCGCGATATTCACTCCGGTGAGAATCGAAAGTTTACGATTAGAAACCCCTGCGCGGATATGAATTGCGAATTGGCCTCGGGCCAAGTCGATAATCGCGAATCAATCTCCTCGCGAGGAGCGACTCGAAGAGAACGGCTGTGAGAAATTTTTTTTTTCTACGTTTCCCTCTGTTTCCGTGACGTATCCAATAAACCTCGAATGTGCTCCCGACTTCATTTCCAGCGCGAGAATTATCGGAATAATTTACGATCCGCGCACAATAGAAATAAGAGAAGAAGAAAACGGAAAATATTTAGTCAAGTGGAATTGTAATCGAAAATCGATAGCCGTCGAGTTACCAAGAATTGCGCCAAAAACGTGCAAAAACAACTTTTCGACTTACCGTTTGATCGTCGACGCACTTTCGCGGTCAATATCACCATCCAGAATAAAACTCCAGGGAGAGGGCAAAAAAAAACAAAGCGTCGCACAAAACAAAAATATACGTACACAAAAATATACGTACACAAAAATTCAAGGATACACACGTGCAACACGTCCCGAAACAATCTCGAAAGAGGTTATATCGTTTCTATTAATCACTAGGCGTATGCTCGCGTCTCTCGTTATCTCTCCAAGATAATTCCGATCGTACGATTAATCAGTTCCACGAAAACGTGTCAACTTTCCTCTCGAAAAGCGTCGTATCTCACGAGGTTACCTCGACGGCGTCTCGCGCGCAACTGCAAGCGTTACTCGCGGAATCGGAACTCTTTCTCCCTCTCCCCCCCCTCCTCTCTCTCTCTCTCTCTGAAGATCGCGGCCTCTTCGGGACTCGCGCTCGGCTTTCCTCCCGATTTTCTCGGCAAAGACAAAGACACTAGACGCGGAATAACGCGATTTCGCGCGCGCCTGTCGACAGGCTTGCTTTCGCAGGTACCGTAAGACTTTCGAAACAATGCGATCGGCGAGGCCGAGCGAGCGAGCATGCGCCAAAACGAGACAACTTGCTCCGACCAAGTCCCACGCTCGACTGCGCGAACAGCTACGCTTCACCCTCACGACTCCGTTCGTGTCACGGACGCCGTAGTTTACGCGTCCCTGAGCCTAGTGCCACCGCCAGCCGGCTCCTGCGTAAGGGCTTCCTGCGCGAGGGGGAGAAACGCTTCGTACGTTAGGGCAGCAGGACATGGTGGCGTCGTAGGAATATCAGTGTTTCTCAAAACGATTGTTTTTCGCGAGGGAAGCTTCTAGAAAGGACCAATCCGAGTTTGAATGCTCGTGTATATCGTATCATTTTCTTTAAAATGACGATTGGATGTATAATGATGTGTATCGCATTTAATTATCGATAAAAACTGTCAATAAATGTACATAAACAGTGAATATTTTTGGTAAATAAATGTTTGGTAAATAAACTACCTCATGGTTTTTTTCGGATCTTTCATGTATTTTCAAGGAGAAATTAATTGCTCGAAAATTAAATGCTCGAAAAAACTATAGCTTTTATTTTTCACATAATTATGTTTATGAACGTAATGATTTTACACGCAGATTATTATAATGATTACATTGATTTTTTACTTCTAAAATAATGTTAATATTTATAAATTATAAATTTTTATTAAATAAAATAATGATTACAATGTTTCAGCATTTATATTTTTCATTTTTCTTTAATTTTAATCAAAAATATATAGAGAATATAGTGAATAATATTACAATATCCTATTACGTTGCACATTTTAATATTTAAAAAGAGATAAAAAATGCATTAGTCATTAGTTGCTTGAATATTTATTGCAATAATTAATTCTCTATTTCTTCAGGCATATAAAACGCATTAAATAATGTACACAATAATAATGTATTCTACTTTAATAATATTTAAAAAAGAGAACAAAATCTTTTTTTATCTATAGTCTTTTTTTATCTTTTTTATCTTTTTTGTCTCTTTTTTTATCATCTCTTATTACTTATAGCATATAAATTATTCCCTGATTTAAAATTTATAACATTATTGTTAAATACGTAATCATCATTGCGTTTAAAAAATGAAACAAGAGCGACAATTTTTTTAAATAAATTTTTTTATCTCGAAATGCATAAATCAATAAACTTTATACATATTAAGCAAGGTCTGACGCTTCAAATGTCATCCGAGATAACAACACCAAATATCTTTGTTTGTTTTTTTTTAGTAAAGTTTAATCAAACTTGTTTTCACATCCTATTCAAAATATGCTTATTTATCATAATACATGTTGAATTTTTAATGACATGGTCATTAAAAATTTTTATGATTTGTAGAAAGTTGAAAGAAAAAAAATACCCGCTGAGACTATTTTATCTTTGTCTTTTACTTTTCTTATCTCTTTTTCTCGGAGCATTTTCTTACTATGATACGGGAGTCTATTTTAATGATAGATAGAGAAATTCGTGATGCATAAGTTATGTTCCAAAAAACTCGATAAGAATAACTGTAAAGTACTAAAATATTTATTCGGTTAACAATATTTGAAGCTATAGTCGCACAAGGTTCACTTGACGGAATTGTACATTCGTACTATCGACATGATATATTTATACAATAATCGATCTCAATATATAGTTAGCAATATTTATTTTCGATAATTGTATTAATACATTTAACAATTACTTGTAGCCATGGCGTAAAATTTTCCTGATGGGATTATCACACGATATTGCGATATATTATATTTGCGCATAATATTACTATTGCTCGGTATTTTTTATATACTTATGATATTATACGGTTGCAAACGATATTTATTCTCAATAACTTAATATGATAATAAATCCGATAACTCCGATGAGATGACACACACAAGTGATTCTCATGATAAATATCATAATATAATTATAAATAATGCATGTAACGATAACAATATTAATTACAGCATTAATTAATTATGGACTGACTCTATTCTTTCGATATTCACGATGTTCGAGCACGATCTGCATTACAAGCGGCATCTCGACGTCATAAATAACTACAAGCGAGATAACTGCCGATTCCGTTAGAACATTGTGATCCGAAATTCCGAGTTCATGAATGAAATACGGCTGTCATCGACGTGCATCAATTAAGCGCTAATTTTATTAAACATAACATTAACACTGATGCACATATAGAAAATTTCTTGAAAAGGCTAATAATATTTGTATCAAATTTGTTATAAAGTATTTTTGTATTTTGCATATTTTTGTCACAAAACAATAAAGCCTTTTGTTTCTCAAATGTGACATACGTAACAATTGAAAATTTCGAATAGCATATTTTAAATGTGACAAAAATATTACTCATTGTCTTTCGCATTACATGAAATATATTCATTATATTTGAAATATATATAATAACTTATTTTGAAACTGATGAGATTGAATGCTGAACTCATCGCTTCATTCTCTTTGTCCTTTTTTTTAGAAGTCATACACTCTTATCTTGTTTTAACTTCCGGAGAAATTATAAAATTTGATATCTTACGTCACTGCATTCCTGAATGCATGTAGGTGTATTCGTGCTACTGTGATTGTAACAAGTGGCCGATCTCGCTTTTTTCTTCTTTTTCCACACTTGTATAACGTCATATTTTACAAAAGTTTTTCGCACAGTATCATCCCGACTATCGTGAAGATTAGTTCGATCCTTATATACGAGCGCGTTATTCACACGACCTGTGATATTATTGAAAGTGGCAAATCAACTGCCTAATAAATATTACAACACACACGCAATTATTAATAACAAAAATGATATATATTTTATATAATTTAATATAGTATTTATAATTAACGAGTGACTTCATAACATATTTGATTCGCGTAATACAAACTTCAGAATTCTGAATTCAGTTCGGTGCTTTAACAGAATTGGAAGTCGAGATGTTTAGTGATTTTCGCATTCGTATAGCGTGTTGAGAGCGGTTACTTGTGTATAATCTCGGGAATGCCGAGAAAAGGATAAATATTTAATGTGACATATACAGTCTTCTCCCCAATTTTGTCGAAAATTTACATATTTTATGTACGGAGTATGGAAATTGAATCTATTCAAAATGCATAAAATATGCGAATTTAAAACCGGAGAACGAACATTGAGAAACATCAAATTTGGTTAAATTAAATATTTATCTTATCTTTTTTCTTCTAATGATCTAAACGATGTGTACATTAGTATAACTAAATTATTCAGAATATATAGAAAATAGTATTTAAAAAATATTTTCTATTTATTTCGTAAGAGAAAAGCTATTTATGACTAAGATTATCAATTCATTATAAATAAATGGTTCGCATTCTATGACTATATGTAATTTTTAAAATATGGTTGATAATTTTGTTTCTATTGTTTTAAGTAACTATTAAAACTAATTTTTATTTTCTTTTAAAATATTAATCTTAGATCAAACAACACAAAACAATTTAGATTAAATTTAAAATTTTGTACTAAAAATATGAAAACCTTATAATTTTTTTCATTATTTTTTAAGATATTTGTCCAGTATACAAATTGCATTTCTTTAAGTTACGGACATCGAAAAAAGTATTATTTTACAGATTTTGTGATTCTAATATTGTTCTAATAATATTATCAATAATCAACTATGATTTTGCAATAAATAAAATTCGTAGCGGAAATATTGTTAAAGCTGAGAATTTATATTTCTTTTTGTTTATGTTCCATTAATGTACGTTTTAATCATTGTATTATTTGATCCAAAATGTTAAAAACAATAATACTGAAATATTCCAAAAAAGAATAACTAGTTTTTAATAGCAGCTTGAGAAAATTAAATTTTTATAATAGAAACAATAAATTATCAGCTATATTTTAAATATTACGTAGCTATGAAATACCTATAATGGATTGAGTCACAAATAAATTTTCTTCTATAAAACGAAATATTATTTTATACGGGATATTCCGAAAATAATAATATTAGTAAAATTAAAATAATGTGAAGTGATACTCTTATATCAGTTTACATATGTATGTTAAAAAAGTTATTTTTTCTATACTTATTATATATTTTAAATATTTAATTTTAATGTATTTAATTATATGTATGTATGTATGTACAGACATATATATAAAGATTTAATTATCAGAAGCATCATTACATATTCAATTATTCATTTACATTTTACATCAAGAAGATAAAATTAAAAGTAAGAACGTTAAATTCAGGTTTGATAAATTTTAAGCAAGTTTCAAGAAAGTTTTAATAAATTGCATTTTATGTTGTTTCTTTATGATTATTACGAGCATTGTGAATTTATTGCATAATTAATGATAAAACATGAATTATATTTTTATCAACAATAATATCTGTCGTATACGATTTAAAAGGGTAATTAATTTCGGGGACGTTTTCATACATCTTTTGTGAAATTCATAACGGATAATAATACGCTTATACATCACCTAACAATACGACAATTTAAGATCTATCCAAAGAGATATCTATCTGAAGGGATCTCTTTCTTGATTTGCCGCATTAATTAAAATCCAACAGCTCAAAACTGCATTTCTGGCAAGCCAATTGAAATTACGTGGTAGAACCGACTAGCACAGGAAAATTTTAATTTCCACGAAACTTTTCGGATGTATGCAAAGTGGCACGAGAGATGTAAGTTCAGCAAGTTTTCATTTATCCGTGAAAATGGATTTCAAAGATGGCATCGCACCATCTCGTGAATGTAGATACCCGCTTTCGCACGCCGCAAATTGAAAATTAGCTATGCTTATAAAAAATGCTCGACTTAAATCGAGCGCGAGGCAAATAGATCCGCATATATTATCTGACTCAACCCGTTTTACGTCGTTTCAAAAATAGTTTCTATTTAGTGGTGTCTCTATCTTTTAAAGGCAATTATTCTGTTATTAACCTCGATATTGTTTTTCTATATATATTCAGTCTCTCAACAAAGTGTTATATATACAATAGCCTATATTGCCTTTTATATTTTTTCTTGAATATTTCTATAATTATAAATTTATAAAAAAATATTTGTTACAAAAAAACATTTG